CCATGTGGTTTTTATATGGCTTTATGTAAAATACTACCTCTACTTCACCAATAAAACTCTAGTAGCTTAAGTTATTTATCACTTGATTAACATGGACAAAAAGGAGACAATGGCTTTGCTATTTTAATTACTATAATTGAGAATCTACAAATTAACCTTTATTTGCAAACACCTCATTCCCTTCTTCATCAGGTAACCCACACTGTAAACTGCAGGAGCACAGAGTAACCAACAAAGACATTTCCATCCCAACATATTATGGAAAAATACAGAGTCATCTCTCTCTAATGAGAAAACTTCAGGGTGTCACAATGCCTTGAAGCTGAAATGATATCTCTATGGAAAAGATTATAATTGGTAGCGGGTCTCACACAGCCAAATCAGGCTCTAATCCAATCACTAAACTGCCATATGCTCTGTTCTAAGCCATCAGCCAGTTCCTCACCACGACTCTCCAGAAATAACCGTGGTTTGCAATTGCCCAGCTGGGCATTTAAAATATTCTACAAAGGTTTGGTGCCACCCATTTGGTGGAAAAGGACATAATCTCATTGTGATCCTTGCAAATTCATCCCATTTTTATTTCTGAGAACAAATGGTGAAAAGAAGTAACAAAAGCATAGAACTATGAAAAAAGGTGAACAAATGCAAAGCACCCTTACAGATATTTCTAGAAAGCACAAACAGAACTGAGAGAAAAATCACATCTCCAGGTTTGCCCCCAGAATTACTCTTTTTAAGACAAATACCTATAATCCATGTCAAACGCACTTGAACTGTTAGGCAACATTGATTTTGCAGTCTAAAACTGGGATCAGCATTCATTCTTTGCCCACACAGAAGCCCAAGAGGCATCAGCACATACAGGTTCTTTGAATGCCCTCTTCCCTTTCAATTTAAAGGGAATTCCCCCTCAGTGCCCACCTCAATTGTTCTCTTTCCATTAAGTGCATATCCCAGCAACTCTAAGGCAAGAATTGACTAAGTAGATGTGTAAGTATCAACTGATAATCACTCGTGTGTCAGACATTGGACTGCAGTGAAAAGATAAGAATAGCCTAAAACCAGGAGCCAGAATCTCTTGTCCCACCAGTACCCAGAGCAAAGGTTCCTCCTCCTTCTAGGGAGCTCAGGATCAACAGCACAGGTCAAGGGACCTTCTCTCTACACCTTGAAGACCTTCTGATGCGGCCAAGTGCTGGGCTTTGGCACCCCCCCAGGAATGCTTGAGGATCAGGACAAAGGAGGACACCAGCACCAGTGGATGCACACAGCTCTCCTCATGGGTTCCTGCCACAGAGCCCAGGTTCACTGCCTGCCCTGGCTCTCACCCAGCCACACTCAGGCTGCCTCAGAGCCACACCAGGCAACAAGCACTGCTTTGGATGGCACTCCAAGGTCCTCAGGGAAACCTGCACCTTCCATCAGCTGTGGAAAGGCTAGAGAGGTCACACTCCAGGAGAAAAGGACCTCTGCAGAGTAAGTGTCTCTATGGACTCTGGACACCCTTTTGTGTTTTCCTTTCCTTTTAAACAAGTATCAGACTTTTTTACATCAATTGAAATACACTTTTTAAATAAAGTATTTTATCAGCAACCAAAAGTAAAAACATCCCAGTGAAAGGACACCAATAAACTCTCACCATTCCTCCAAATACACAGAAAACAAAACAAAATTATCCGCAAATACAATAATTTTTACAATACAGTTCAGCAGTATTGTCTCTTTACCTAAGTGCTGAAAACATGACTGAAGAATACAGTAAGAACTCAGGAACATCTGGCTGGATTAATTAAATCCCTATTTTTCATAAGGAGAATTTATTCCTACATACCTCAAACTTCAAATTTGGTAGTATCAAATCCCCTCAGTCACATTATGAGCTCTTTAAGGTATTCCAAAAGCATGCTCCTCTGTACTTGTCAGAATAATTCAGCTTGTGTACTGTATGTATTTACATATCACTGTATCTGATCTGTCTACAGCATGCAGACCCAGCACACTTGCAAATGCAAAATGAAACCACTAGGGACACAGATGTATATTAAAAGTGCCTTAAATTTGGCCTGTTTGCAAAAAACTCAGAAAGTCGTGCCAAGGCAAAGCAGAAAACTTGGACCATTCGGCTCTTCAGGTCTAGTTCATAGAATTGTTTTCACAGAACAAAAAAACAAAGCATAAATATTTAATTCTCCTGACATGCAAACACCGTATTGTTTTCCTGTTCTCATTTTTATTTGCCATCCAATTAGTAGATTAACACAAGTACAACTTCCCACCTCTGCACTGAGGGAGATGCTGAAGAGGAGACAGGCATTCCTCAGTATTAGCAAAGGTGGGAATACTCTGGGGTGAGAGACTTTTTTCAATAAGTCAGGTCACAGAACACAGTTATGCTGATCACTGAGGTTAGAACCACTAGTCACAAGCTTTAAATTAGCAAAACAATTCTTAAAACTAATTTTATTCTTATGGTACTATTTTATAAATAAATAATGTGAATTAGTATTTAATTGTTTCAACCTGAGGTTTTAAATTTTCCACCTATCAGTATGGGAAATCTCTTGGCAGCCCTGGAGGCTATGTGAAAATTAAATTTTTTTAGTTTAATTATAAATTGGTTTTGCTGTAATAGTGGAGGCTTTAATTGAAATATTTTAATTAAGTGCTTGAAGCCACACAATGCTGGCTTTTTGCAGCAGAATAGCTTATCTCAGAGTCTGGAGTTTCACATTTACTCAGCTCCTGCATGCACACAGCCTGCTGTAGAACTAATTGTTACTGCTGCTTTTACCTGGTTAATGCACGTACCAAGACAAGCAGTGGGTGCATTCAACCACGCACGCTGGACCACGTTCATAATGTGGGCAGTAAAAAAGGGTCCTTAGAACTGTTTAAAAATAATTAGAGTGAGGGAAAGAAAGATAAAACTGTAGCATCTTGTTCAAGATGTCCCTGATCCCCACAGTTCTTTCCTTCTGGCAGCCCTCCCAGGAGGAGCAAGTGGCAGACAGGGCTATCAGATTGCTGACGGACAGCCAGACTATGGCAAAACACAGCAGGGAATGCTGATCCCTCCTTCTCCAGATAGGATATCAAACCTGAAAGCACTTGCAAGGTTCATAAACAGTAGGATCAACATTAAGATATCAGGAGTGTGGGAAGGGGGAAAGGGCTGCTTGCTTTTTCACAGATGAACTTCCACACATGAGTATTTCAAAAACAACACAATCTGTGTCTGGGGCCCCTCCCAATGACACAAAGGAATAAAGAAATGGGATCTAGAAGGACAGAGGAAACTGAGAACAGCAGCAGTAGAATTCACACTTGTAAAACACTGTATAACCTCTGAAGGTTTGTGGAAAGGGGGGTCAGGCATGTGTTATTATCCTGACAACACAGGCAAGAAGAGCAGAATGGTAAACACTGATCACCTGCACCAAATTCATCCATAAACACATGCATGGCTTCTCTAAGAACTAGGCTATAATACATTTTCCTGTTAACATGGTACTGAGTAAAAAAAAAACGCAAATCGCCTAAGTTTTCAAGCACTAACAACTATGGAAACAGCTTCTGCAATACAACCAAATGAACTAAAAAAATTTATGCTTCAAAAGAGTTACTTGCAAGGAAACCACACAAGAACCAGAAGAGGCAAGGAAGTAGTTATATAAGACTTGTGGGAAAGAACTTCCCATGCATTGCAGTAACAGAAAGGTAATGCTACTAAAAAAAGGGGAAAAAAGCCCCGTCTTCTACTAAACAGTGCCCTCACTGATTACATAACTTAAGATTGAAAAACAGACAAATAAAATGTATTTGACAGTGGGTTAATTAAATTACAAAAGAACATACTGATTCACACAACATATCTTGTCTCCAGCAGAAAACATTTAGGAAGAAAAGGAAGAAGGACAGACACTTAGTACAATTATATAAAATAGGCAAAATGTCATTTCAGAAAACAAATATTGGCTGTCAAGCAACTAGGTAGAGTAAAACTACAAAATGGAAGGGTGGAGCACTGGGGGGGTGTTTCTTGCCCCATTTCTCCCATATTCCTGTTCTTTACTGGCTAGTAGAACTCATTCTGTCTGAAGAAGAAAAGTCTGCCAACTAATCTTAGAAGCCAAGGAAAATAGATTAACAGAGGAAATGAGTAGGCCTGGGCTTCAAAATTCACCTTCTCCAATTTCTCCTTCCTCCATCTAAAATGCACAACTAAGCTGTCATGAAACCACATGTTGTAGTAGTAAAAAAACCATTTTGTTATTTTAAAACCTCTGAGAGAAGAACATGGCCAAAATTGTGACTGAAAGCTGAAGAGACTTGTCAGAATTGGCAGGATATAAATTTCAAGAAAATTAAGAAACTCCCAGCTGGTAGAGATCACTTTAGCTCTTTTAATCCACACTGCTATGCTGATCCATACCAGCTGAAAATTTGAACCTTCTTTTGTGTTGTGCTATTTTTAAGCAGCTAAACTTCAGACTTGAGTACAATTGTTCAATCCCACGACAAGAATAGTGGAAGCAGAAGAGAGCCAACATGTCCCAGTCACTCACTGAATACTTCATGTGCCAGTCAATTCTTATTAGTGCTATCAAATCACCTACAGCTGTTCCCAAGTCTCTCCTGGGAGCTGCAGTGAGACACAGCAAACCCTAAAGGTTGAAGACTTTCTGCTTTGAACATTCCCTCATGTTCAGACCACCCCATCCACCTACATTTTCTATGAGTCACCTTGGTGGCCTCGAACACTCATTTTGTGAGGCAGGACCCCAGGTTTTGTGTCACATGTTACCCAACCTCTTGTTCCTCACTTACTCTACCCATGAAACAAACTGTGGCATCTCTTCCCATCAAGAAATCTCCTCGGTCTCCATAGTGAGAAAAAATTCCCTGGCAGCACCTAGATCTATGAAATCATACAAACACAACTTTTGAGAACAAAACTGGGTCTGTCAGCTGGCTGATGTCATCCTTCAGACACTCACCAGGGTGACAATGGCACATTCAGCAGTCAGTTGAGCAGCACTGAACAACGTCCGGACAAAGCGGTAAATCTGTTTCTGCTCCGGGTCATGTTTGTCATAGTCTGGTGGCACTTCGGATTTCTAAGGAAGAAATACTTCCAAATAGGTGACTGAAACAAAACGAAGCAGACAGAAAAAAAAAAGACAGTTCACATGAAAGGGAAGGAGAGGCAGATGAACTTACCGAAAGGGGATGAAGGTTTTCATCGAAAATATCTAAGAGCATTCTTCCGTCTGTGTCCCTAAAAGTATTAAAACCAAAGCACTGTCATTATCTGAACACAACAGCACACAACCCTCATAGACACAAGTGCACCATTCAAACTCCAACACTCCTCGTGCTGTGGGGTGCTTAGAAACACTGATGAAATGTGATTTCCAAATAGAGGTTAGACCTACTTTGGCATAAGCTCCTCGTGTAACATGAAATTCATATTACAAAACACGCTAAAACACTCAGCTGTCAGTGCCCAAGGTACAAAACTGTTGTGCTCTTTACTATGAGGCTTAAAAAGCACTACTACAAACTTGATAAAATCAGGCCAGCTTACTCTCCTTTTCTCCTTTTTTTAACTTATTCATGTCCACCCCTGCAATCTCTCAACTCCTCTTCCTCCTTCATTACCAACATTGTAAACATTTACTGTGGCATTCACATTCTCTGAAAAAATTCCTTCACCCAGGGTTTTTCTCCTGGGAAGCTGAAAGGCAGCAAGAGAGGCCTCAGAGAAAAAGAAAACAATTCTTATCTCATTTGCTTCTCCTGTGTTGTGCTCACATGGAATGTGTTTGGGGATTGTTTCATTGGATTCTGGTGTGAGTTGTTTTGACTCTTTGGCCAATCAGGGCCAAGCTGGGTCAGGACAAAGAAGAGTCACAAGTTTTCATTATTATCTTTTTAGCATTCAGTAAGTATCCTTTCTGTATTCTTTAGTATAGTATAGTATTCTTCAATATAATATAGTATAATAAATTAATAAATTAGCCTTCTGATAAGATGGAGTCAGACGCATCATTCTCTCCCCTCATCGGTGGACCTGCATTTACAATAGCTTACTAATATGCAATGTTATTTTTAGTCATCTTTTCGTTAATACATACATACTTCACTTTTAATTTACCTAAAAAACCCTATTGTACTAATGAATTTTGAAAGCCAAAAGAAGCACATACAAACAAAGATTCAGATAAAATAATATCCCCATTCATTGGTTTCATAAGATGTTTCTCTGAAAATCCCTGTAGCTCAATATCAGCATGCACATTGACGCAACTTCACAAGCCCAACATCCAGGATGCAACGTAAGATTTTTGTTGTATGTAACTTTGGCAAGGACACTAACAAACAAAACCAAGTATAACTGTACCAGAACTGGCACTTTCTGGACAGATGCATCCCTGTGACCTACTTATTACAATCCCATCTTTATTTTTAGCATCCCTGGTACTCTGATCATACAGTTCTTAACAAACAAACCACTGAATATATTTTCTATCTTTGCTTAGCAGCACGTGTCTCTCAGAGCATGCAAACCACAAGTTTTACAGTGGACTCATGTCTGCAAAATACATTTATTAACTCAAAATCTGAAGGTGACTTTTTTTCCAACTAAAATGGAGGCTAACACTGGAAAGAAACATTTTTAATATTAAAAAAAAGAAGATCTAAATGAAAACAAACAACCAACAAAACAACAAACAAAATAAATAATTAAATAATACCAAAACCTGGACTGGGGTAATTACTAGAAAATTCCTAGCAGCAAGGAGTCTAGGCCAGACTCTTTCAACCCTACCTAAAAAAGCAGTATCTTAATGCAGAAGTAGTCTCCCTGAAATGGTGGTGTGCTACAGTAAACTCTGGCATTTCACAATGCCAATAATTTCCTATTTTATTTCTTCAGGTTGTAGCTGCTGTATGCTATGAGGTCACACGTGACTGCCCTCAAAAACCTATTTAAAAAACTTGAGAGGTTTTTGTCTTCACTAAAACTGAGACTGTACTCTTTCAAAAATGGACCATCTACTGATTACTCAAGCATTCTTTACAGTCAGCTTGCTGGCATTCATTTTATTTCTTTAGCAAATTCACCAATGCTTACGCATTCCTTCAAAAACAAGATGAGTATAGTTTTTTAATTACTTGTTGAGTAGCCAAGACAACAAAACATGAAGAACACTGATCAGTATAGCCATGATAGGAGACACTGGGAAAGGGAGGAATGATAACTGGAATGCTACAATCAAATGAATTGTGAGAAACATGTGAAGAAATATTATATTTCATGCATAGCTTCTCAAAAAAATTAGATGGGTGAGGGTTTAAAACATTAGGAAGTAATTTTGGTTTAAGTCTCCTATGCAGGAGAACAGGACCAACTAAACACTGTCTAAAATGAATTATTCTCTGGAAAAGGAGATGCTTGACTCATTTTCTATCAAAATGAACCTTGAGTCAAAGAGTCACAGTGGTTTCATACTCCCCATCCCCCTTAATGAACCAAAACCTCCCACATACGTCAACAACTTCCTTTTCTCCTATAACAGCAGGAAACAGAACATATGTTTTGCTCTTGCTGTTTCAGCAGCAAGCACAACTGAGTGCTGTTATCACATTGTCCCTCCATTCCCAAATCAGAAAGAACCCAAGAGTGAGCAGTTGTTTCACATCCCTCATTCCAGAGTTTCTCACTGACACACATGAGCTTGGCTCCAGCATCACTGCTGGGACTGTCCCAAGGGCAGGCACAGCACTTCCCCATCCCAGGCACATTCCAGGGAAAGCAGCCGCAAGCAGTTTCCTGAATCAATCACCTCGCCATCCCAAAAGTGAAAGGACAGACAGCAACTTTCCCAAGAAAGTAACAGTCAGAATGCATTTGTTTTCAAGATGCTGACACAGTACTCTATTTTATAAAGGTCTGGTCTCCCTGTCTACCAGCTGTAGGTCACATTTGCATCAGGCTGTGCCAGCCAACAAATGGGCATAATTTACTGCAGACAGGGATCAGCTCCATGGCAGTCAGCATAGATGGCCATGTATGGCTCACTGTGGCTCTGGATGCCCCTGGTTCTGGATTCTTCCTGCTCACTTGAGAATTCTTACTGAGGTCTCTTACCTCTTGTAGTCTCTGATGTGCCCAACTCTCTCAAGCCTTTTACTCAGCTGCCATGACACTTAGGAGAACACTTAATTGATTTCCACAAAACTTTGGAGTCCGATAATCTTTGAGATCTCTATTATTTAGTCAAGCATAGTGAAAACTGACTAGCTAACTAATCCAGGGACTATGGAAAAAAAGGGGAAAAGGAACCACAGATGGATAAACAAGTAATCCAAGCATGACCACTCATGCCTTATTTCCTGGTAAATGAGATTAAAAGTTCGAGAGAGGATTTCACTCCAACTTTTGCTTTATACACTGCCATGTTTCAGTCCAAGGCCCACTGATGTCTTAGAAAGTCTTCTAAGAGCTTACAGAGGGAATCAAGCCCTAAGCCCTTCTGCACATATAAAGGATTCTCTTGAGATGTCAGCCTTGTTTCAAGAAGTGTGATGGGTTCCAGTGACCTGAAACATGGTCCTGAATGACGTACCAGCTGAACTTTAAACTCATGAGTAATTCCTTTTGTTCTAGTTGGACTTCTGATAGTCCAGAAGAAAAAAACATCTAAGCGGCTTGATAAATCAAGATCTAAGCCAAGTTCTCTGAAAAGGCCAATTGAAAAACCATGGACACAAAAGTAACGTGAATTATTTATACAACCTCTCCTTAGAAATGTCAGGAAATATTATTTTAGGATACTGTGACGTATCATGAGGACAGGGAATTTAAGATACAAAAGCACAATTCAACATGAAGAAAACTCATGTATGTGCCAAGTCACTTCTTAGAGAATCTTTTTTCTATTCATTTTCCATCAACTTGACTGAGCAGAGATCTAAAACATAATACACCAGGAGAGACAAGCCAGGACCTGCTCTGTTTCTGAGGCATCTTGAATGACATCTATTCACAATGCCACTCTTACTGTATAATTCAAGGGTTTCATTTCAAAATCTGAATTGGTCACTTATAAACACAGTTACCTTTACAAAGGTGCAGCTAAAAATACAAAACCAAAAGATACTATTCAGATTTTTCTACGTGTAAGTGCAACATATGCAACAATGCAGAAGTGCCCCATATAAAACCAAACACTGAATGATCAGAGCTTTTCAATGTTGAGCTGTAGTTCCAATTTTATGGTACTTAATCCTCCAATTTTAATTTTTCTATGTAAAATAATACCTATATAAAATGTGTGTGTTTTTTATTGCTCGCCTGTAAGTTAAGAAAATGAGTACCCAAAAACATTTTGAAAGAAACTAAGCATGGATTTTTAGGGTTTGAGCAGTTCACTTGTTTCAATAAAAGTTATTTTCAGTAACTATTCACATACCTGTTTTTGATGTGGTAATATATTGCAAGAGCTACACTGTAAAGAAAAATAAAGAGTTAATACCTCAGGACTGCCATATTATATTTTCTGTCACATTGCATGCAAATTTAAAACCTAGCACAAAGCATGACAAACAGCATATGGTCAACAGCCAATTTTCTTTTGTTCACTGTTAGATAGCAGGAAAACTGCTGTAAACAAACAATTTTATAATGTTTGTTTTGTACACTCCAACTACATCCTTTTTACTAGTAATGAAGTAATTTACTTCATATTATCATCATATTCATATTATCATCTTATTTCATGTATCAAGTTGCACATACTTCCCATTTAATGCCCTGCTCCACTAAATCCACTGATTAAACCCCTACTGACTTCCAAGGCTGAAGACAAAGCACCACAGGCATTGGACAATCTCTTTAGTTTTGCTGCCAGGTTAACACAAAACATTTTAATCACCATTGGCTTATGATTGTTTATTTAAATCCATTGCTTGTGTCTGTCTTTATATAGCTGCTCAAACAGCAGACTCAAATACCACTCTCGTACAGTTTTATAGCATCAAGTTACTTATTTTAACTCAGGAAAGACAACTCCCTGAATAACTAACTGCATTATGCATTTCCCCTACTCTCAGCCACACACCAAAGCACCCCTGCTTATATTCTGCACACAGACAAAAAGTGTCCTTATATTCACAGAAAGTTAAGGTTTTGACTACATACACAACTAACAGACCTCATTTTGTTCTCATGAGATGGAACAAAATTAAAGCATGGAGCCTTATTTTTATCCTACAGTTTCCAACTCCCAGCTCATGCTTTACTCACAATATATTTTTATTGAAGAATGAAGCCGAGCCAGCACTCTCCCTTACTTACTGCAGCAGCATAAAATCAATTTAAGCTAAAGGGGAAAGAGGATGGAGGAGGGAATTCACCGATTCTCTTTGTAGACAGTTTGTTTCATCAGTGATTCACTGTAAGATACTTACGTCTTATACTAATGCAAAATTCCCCCCTTTTCCTTTAAACACCTTTTAAGGGTCAAGTGGTTGCTCTCTGATTTTATTTCAGAATTTTTATATGAAAACTGAGATACTGCATGTTAGGAAAAGAAAATGTTGGCGCTAAAACTCTAGCAGAATTTTACACTATTTCAGGTTTGACTGGAGGTTTTTTTGAACAGCCATACAGTAGAAAACATTTTTCTCCATTAAAAGCAAATATATTTTACTAAATTTTTATGAGCTTTTACTACCTGTATTACACGTTTTTAGATCATACATGCTTTTTAAATTTGGCTTTTTTCTACAAACACATATTTAAGGACTCAAGAGATAGGGTGTACCACAGACATTTAAAGACCACAGCTGTTACTGAACACAAGAAAAACCCACATTTATGAATGAATTTGATTTGACAGAAAGATATTCACAAAAGGAATTAATCTTAAAATTTAATTTTAAATTATGCCCCTAGGAACACACTTGCAGCTCCAGTTCACTTAATGAAAGCAGATGCAAGAATCCATGGCAGCTCTGCTTGCTGCCCATACGATTGCCTTTGTAACAAAATGTCAAATTAAGTTTAGAAAATATTTACTATTTAGGAATCTGTATCAGAACCTGAAAGTCTCTCAGGGCTGCAAGAGAGTAACTCACCCAAGTTTCATTCTACCTTTCATACACTGGTTCAGCTGGCACTAAGAGTGCAGAAATGATGATTATGGAGCTTTCCATCACCCTACCCCAGCCATCCTGACTGCTGCAGATGCTGCAGTGGATACAGCAATATTTTAAACACACCAGTGCATAATATGACCTAGAAGAGATGAGCAAAATGCCTCCCTCATAGATTTATCTATGTGCAATAGTTATTTTCCTGCAGAGACTGCAAGGTGTGGGGAAAAAAATGAAGTTGTCCTACAAAAGCAATAATCCTACTGTTTCCTTACCCTTCAACCTGCCAAATGTGCAGCTGGACAGAAGATGCAGAGAGTTTGTGTGCCAGAGTTCAGTTTCTCACCCTCTGTAGTCCCTTCTCACGCCCTCTGAGCCCTAGCAGCTTCCAACCCTTCCCATGCCGGCAGCTTGGCCTGAGCCCTGCACAACCCCTGCCCCATCCCAGCACGGGCTCTCCCAGCCCTTCTGCCCCCACCATGCACCTGAGTCCCCCCCAAACACACCAACCTTCTCCCCACTATCCGCTTGTCCTTCTGTGACCTGAAAATGCTTCTTGGCTGCCGCACCTGAACTCATCTCTTCTTCCCACGAGCCATGGCAGGTCTAATGCAAAAACACACCCAAAACCCACCCAAAAGGCTGCACCTATTCTGCATACAAAGGGTTTTAGAGAAGAAGACTATGAGATTCAAGGAGGAAAAAAGCCCAAACACCTCAGAAATGGAAAACCTTTTCAAAGTGTTAATCAGAACTATTTTTAAGTTACTAGTGACAGAAACATGAAGAAAAGCAAGACTATATTCCAGGCAGAAAGAGGTGATGAAGGATCAGGCATCAGTTTAACTACAAAAACCTTTCTCCTCTCCCCTGTTTTTCCTTTAACAGAAAAATTAAGGACTGTCTTAGTGACCACATTACAAACTCCTTTGTATGTGCTAGTCTAAATAGATTTATCTCTCATTTAACACCTCTGCAGCAGAGATATTGTCTTAAAGTTTTGCATTTGTGTACACCAAGGTAACCAATCTACAGCCAACTCAAGAAAGGCTATCAGCAACCACTAACAAAGAGCACAAAATGCCTGAGCATTTGGTCTCTATTTTCCCCTTACTGTACAAAATGGAAAGAACAATGCAAATATCAACTTCATTTCTCTCCAACAGTAAAAGGACATCAGTGAAATTTAAAACACTCATCTGAGACATCACCCAGTAACTCTGCAGCATGACTGATTAAATAATTTTATTACTTCTAAAAAACTAAAACCTTTGAAGCTTGCTTAGGAGTGGTTCATAAATAGGTATACATAAATACACACGTAAAATGTAAGTGCTAGCAAAAACAAATAAATTGTAAAACCCACCATTTGATGGTATACTTGAGGTTTGGTTGACTGACCGTGCTGTCATCCAGGAAAATAGTGGAGCAGGAACTGTACTTCCTTCTCAACTGCCCAGGAGGATGCTATCAAAAACATGCAAAAGAACAATGGCAATTATGTAATACCAAAGCATTTTTTAGAGGAAATGTAAGAATCTTAAAAATACAAATTTCTGTCTCTCACAATGATGCACACAGTAATGTGATCACATCTGGAAGCAGCTCAGAAAGTTGAGGAATAATTAACAGTGCAAAAGTCACAAAAATCCCTGCCTGAGACTTGCTAATGCTTTCAAGTCCCAAATCCCTTGTGTCTCTCCTTCCCCAAAAATATGCAAAAATTTTTCTGCAGGTTTACTCAAATACATACATACACTTGGAAAACAAAGATGAATAAGGCCTATATTTTTGTCCTCATTGCAAAAGAGTAAATGGAAGAGTGAAAAAGAAATTGTGTTAGCAAAGACTAGTTCAGCAACAGATATAAAACTATGCTTGCAGAAAAAAACCCCCTAAAACCCTTAAAAAAGCTCTTAACAGAAGGAAGCAAGGGAAAGAGGTCTTTACACTAGAACTACAAAATTAATAAGGAGAATTCATTAAAAATAATTTATCAATAATAGATTGTTAGCAGAAAGGAAGAAAACTAATCAAAGAACAGAAGAAAAGGGTATAAGCAAATAAAAACACCCAGTATCTTAACACAAAAGGTTTTCAATATATTTCAATCCTTTTGCTGCACTACCATGGAAAATCACTGAAAAATCCAGCCAAAAAACTGGCATTTGAGAACTCTAGTTATTTCTAAACATTTTTTGCTGAGAGAGCTTCTCCATCAGCTGTTTAGAGTAGGCAGGACTCCACCAGGCTGAAGAGAACAGTTTCAATCACATCAGCTAATAGCTCTCACAGTTCTTAATCCTCTTGGATTCTATCTTTGCTTATCCCATCTACACTAGCAAATAATTTGACCAAGAACCTATGTCAGGAAAGTGAAGATCAGTCAAATTACACATTTAACTCACAACAGAATAGGTTTAAAATTCAGTTGGCACATCAACATGGAAATTTTAATTCATCTTACAATTAATGTAGTTTCCAGTGTTTCAGTGGAGGGACCGATGTCAATCCCATCAGCAGAATTCAGAGGTATTTACCAGCTCAGAGCAATTGAGTATCCAGCATACAGTCCTGTGACTCCTACCTCAGCACATCTTCCCCTGCCCACTTTCCAAAACAGATATTATTCCAAGTGCCAGCATCCATCAGCTCACCAATGCTCCACCTTCCATAGGCAGCTGATCTCTTAACAGCATTCACTACACAGACAGACTCCTGGCAAAACTTACACGCATCTAAGTCGTATTTCTGTATTTCACATCTATGAGTGAAAAACCAGTGTCCTGTTAATTGAAAAAAACCCCAACATTTTCTGAAGCTGCCACAATTGTAGAAACATTTTGTAAGCTTTCAGATAATTTGAACATACAAATTCTAGCAAGGTCCCTCACTTGACCAATAAAATAGTTGACTGAACTGCTTTTCTTGCGAGTGAAAAAGTTCATCAACAAAATGAAAAACACCCCTTTTCAAAAATCCTTCAAGGCTTTGTAAAGGTACTTTGTAATACTGTGAAAGCTGACAATCCATCTACCTTCCAAGCTATTGTATGTTAGGCAAGAGAGAAAAACTAGAAATACTGTGAATATTAATGCCATAAAATTTATTATCTAGCATTGATGCACACAGAGAGAACTACTAGGGGGCTGGTGATTCATAGTTCTTAAGCTCTTATTCTACCATAGCTGAGTTTAAATATCTGCATTAGTCTGTTGAGTACCTTCCACAGGCATGATAAAGGCAAAGCTACTTAAAAACAACAAAAATGAGACTCTAGCAGCTAGGGGAAAACAGGGAGATATACACACATCTCAGCATTGTTATTAAAAAAACCCAACACATGGAAAGTTTTCTTTCTACATAATAAGTGTCAACACGCTTTAAAGGTTTAGATATAATTTAAGATAAATATACCAGATTCATTCAAGGCAAACACAACTAAAAAACAGAAAATAACTCTCTAGCAACATCACTATCAGATTTAAATTCTCCTATGTAAACAGCACTCTAGCATTTGACATGGCAATAATTAGAGCAATGCACCTTATTTCTGAAACTACCACATCACAGAATTCTTCTTGGGTTTTCAGCCCACATCTCACTTTGTTAGGCTTGGAACTTTTCACACCTCAGGAAAATGTGGTGTCTCATGCCTCACTTTCTGTTCACAACAACTTGGCAGGAAAAAGCACCTCTGCCAGTCAGAAGAATGGTGCCAATTATAAATTATACACCCTTGGGTAAATATACACACACCTGTGCCACGTGAATAACTGACCTGTCAGAAGATCAGCATCCCCAGCTTCTACTCTGATGCCCAGCTGCAGCCATATGATGCAGCAGGTAACATTTTCTGCCTTTTCCAATTGCTGGAAAACACCCTCAGTTTCATACTTGATCTTGACTAAGCTGGGTGATGTCTGAAGTGCCACAGTTCAGTCAAACAGACCTTTCTGAGCCCCCATAAAATGCTGCACAGGAACTTTCTCCATCCTTGCAAAGGACAAAAGAGGTTCCTGAGCATCAGCTCAGCATTCAGCACTGTCTTACAGACAAACTGCCTTCTGTGGCCATTGCAATGGGATAGGTCCATGACCAAAATGGTACAGGAGCTTCACATCTTTGTATTTCAAATCCATCACAGCTCACCACAGAAATGCTCCCATTTAGACAAGTCAGAGAGGCTCTAATTAAGGAAAAAAAAACAAACAAAAGAGCTGAGAATGACTATAGAGCTTTTGGAGAAATTAGCCAAATCATCTAACAAGATCCTTCTATGGTTCTACCCCACCATTAGGCTGGCACAGGGAAAAGGACAGACTGGGACACCTCCTTTTGTAAATCTTCATATGCAAAAATGAGCATAGGATACGTGTGAAGCCTTGACAACCTCTGCTATTACAAATATTTACTAATTCAAAGCACTCACTGATATGAAGTGGGACTCACTTTAACATGTATTTTCAGTAGCTACAGTACTATCGCTGTAGCCAAGACATGCCTTAGATGTCACACCTCTCAACTTCAGCAAGAACTTCCAACTTCATCTCACATAAAATTCCCAAAGGGCGAACCAAGGAAAACATGCCAGGTAAAAATACTTGGAAAATTAAATTCTGGTCAACTAGGGAACAATTGAAATTGGAAGGTTGAAGTAAGGGACATCCCACAGAGGTACCAGTCAACTCCACATAAAATACTGACCAAAAACTTGGATCACAGACCCAAAGTACTTTTTATTGAATTTGCAGCTGACATTAACCTGCAGAGGGCTTTTTTTCTTTAAAAAATGCAATATATCAATAGAATTTATAGAGTTACCATATATGCAACAGAGTAGAGCACCTATCCACTCTGACCCTGGAATTTTATGTCCAGTTTTTGACACTGTATTTCAAGAATAAATTTATTTCAGAGAGTCTGGAGGACAGAGAAGCAACATCAGTTAGAGATTTAAAAAACCTGATTTACAAGGGATAGCTGGGAGGCTGGAAAGGTTTTCTCCAGGAACAAAGCAAAAATAATGGCCTTAATTCATGTTGAAGGAAGTTACAAAGAAGAGGATGCTGTTCTCCATGGCCCTTGTGGGTGGGATAAGAAAGAGCAGGCTTATATTAAACTATGGAAAATTAAGATTGTGCATGAAAGTGTGAGAAGTGTTTTTGCCATCACCTCTTAAGCCACCACCTTTTTCTAATAGCAGGGATACCTTAAATGACTTGAGCAATGATAGAATCTCCATCACTGAAAGTTGTAAAGAAGAGATAAAACAAACATAGGCCAGGCATAGCTTAGACACAGGCTTCTGCTTCTCAACAAGAAACCAGACTGAACAAGCTCTTGAGATGAATTCTGGACCAATCTTCTAACATTTGGTGGAGAGAATTTGTAGTTCTTCACTCCAGAAACAGTTGCTATTTTTCTCATTTGAACCAAAGACATCCACTAAGAAATGCTGACATTCATTATTCACAATGAATATGAAAAAGGTGCTTTGTGGAATTTCTTAACAGGAAAAGACATAGAACAGAAAACTCTGCTTTATAACTTGCTAAGTCTTTGAATGTGTTACAGAAAAAGCCCTAACAGATCAAGATTCAGTTTCCAATAATGCAGGTGCTCCTAGCTCTTGAGACTAGCAGTTGTTTTTCCTTTGCACGGAAAGTACTGAGCAAATATCACCACTTTATTTTCTTCCAGCTTCATCCTGACATGTTCCAATTTTCCAAATCCTGTGTGTTTTAAGATGTTTGAACTACAGGTTTTTACTTGAAGTTTACATAAAAACATTTTATCAGAAATTTAATGGCTTGGCTTGCCATCAAAATCATACACTGCAGAATTGCTTCTGGGTACCTGCTTTGAAAGGGATCACAATGAATTCCTAACTTTTTCACAATGAGAACGTACAAGAGAGTTAATTTCCCTCAGGAAGCATCACTTAGAAATTAGATTTAATTTGTGGGCAAAGAAGAAATGTTACTATTTCTTTTGTTAAAGTAGGCACTTCAGAGGGGTTTTGTGCAGAAACATCAAATGGATAGCGCACATTGCCCAAAACCCACACTCAGAACTGACCTGAAGGGCCAGCTCTGGCCTCTCCAGCAGCACTAGGGTGGCTCTCTGCCCTGAAACTCAGCAGGATTCATTTGTTGGGGCACAACACTCCCCTAATGAAGCTTTTGTACCAGCGCTGGCCCTCAGCCAGCCAGCTTCCAGCTTGGCAAAGCAGCTTTCAGCCTTTTCCAGTGTTCTTTTGCACTTGTCCATCAAAAGATAATTTGGAGCTCCTGTACTACATAATGACAGTAGTTTCTCTGCTTCCTGCAAACCAGGTGTAAGTTGGTGCATGATTTTAACAAGTCCTATTAAATAATATTTTCCGTCCTAGAAAAACTGAGGCTTGCTTGCACCCGTCTGTGCAGACATGCCCATTAGCTTCAAGGCAGTAGAGGCTGGCCAAG